GAAGACACCATTGCTAAACTACTCGATTCCTTCCCCTTTGAACTTTCGTGACAGTAATAGTAAGTAGCTGAAAACCTACTCTAACGTAATTCACTAAGAAGTGCATTATGGCTTTAGGGACACTATCTTGAACGTTCTTGCGGACGATCATGAAATACTTCCGTATTAAACGTTCTGAAAATATAAACGTAGAACAACTCAACACATCAAGTTCTGAATGCGACAATGTATGAAAGCTCAACAAACCAATAATGAGGCAGTCCTTCTGCTCGTTTCGAGTAAGTTGACGCGCGAGAGGCTTCTCGGGCACTTCTGGTAAGAGGTGAGCCGCTTTTGGAACTACCTCGGCTGTAAAAACAAGCATATCGATCTCTAAAATTTTGCAAAAAAAGTAGAAAATCACAAAGCCGAACTCTAAAACTTGCGGTTTACAAGATCAACGCATGTGATCCTGGTCATAAATAAGCTACAGTCCCGAATTTTCGTTCAGGTTGTGAAACATTTAGCCTTCCTAACTATTCTAAATAATTGCTAGCAGTTAAACTGTAACGGTACCCTTGATAGTTCATGTTTTAAGGACAAAAGGCGATCGCTCTTTCCTTCACATGGTTTTTCTCTAAGCCGGTGATTGCTGCCACGGCTTTTGTGTTCCAATATGCCTCAAAAATTGTTCTTATCATTTATCAAATTGTTATTGTATCTTACTAGTTACTTCCATTCACGCCGGGCCTTTATTCTTCTGGCTTTGCCTTGCCCTCCGGCCTCCCAATCGGGCCTCTAACCGCTGCAATGCACAACTGTGGACTTCAGCAATGTTGGCGGACCTACTAGGATGGTATCCAGAGTTCTCACTTGCGCCCGATGAGAGCTTGCAGTGTTGGCGGCGCAGTGCACTTCTGCGTTGTCCTGTCCACAACAATATCGGCGGCTACCCCTCCCTTCCCCCCCCCCCAAGTTTAGCCAACTCACAGTACAACCATTTGAACACTTGTTATGTTCCTTGGATGAGCTCTTTTTTGACGTTCTCTATCGGTACCTGAGCTTTTATTCTGATAACTCTACAGATACATATACCGCCGTGGAGTACAGGATGGCCTAACAGTGCGCTGACAGAATGCTACAAGGCTGAGGTGCACACCTCGCAGTTACGCGTTAGCAAGAGGATAGAAAAAGCATGCTGTTTGTGTTGTTGAGGCAACAAGATTGAAGAAAAATAAATTCAAGCAGGAAACATGTTCAGTTTGATTAAGCTTAAATTACTCATTAACTATAGGCAGACTATTATTTCAGGACACGGATTTGATCATAATGCAAACTTACAGTATATTTTGATAACAGGAAAAAGGCGAAGAAATGAGAGCAACTAACACGACTCTTCAGGCGTAGCCTTTCCGAACCACCACGACGAACCTTTTTTAGATTCTCCATTCACCATCGGTGTTTTTGAAACGCCATTGACAGCGCCATCCCCTGCACTCGGCATAGGAACAGAATTCACCATCTGAAAACCGAGCTAGGTAGCTTACAGATCACAAAAGATTTCGGCGATTACAGACTAACCAAGTTAATCAAGCAAGGAGAATGTCGGAAAGGTAATATGGTTTGTAAGAACTACGGAGGGTACAAACACAATGATCTGAACGCTGCCCAACCAAAATCACCTCCTGAGAATGTTGTAATTCGAAAATTGGACCGATTTCACAGCTCGACGGTCGACGTTCGTCATAGAACCACTCGTGAATACGGCCTCGTTGCCGTCTCTCATGCGAACCACATAGGGGGCCTGACAAGACAATACTAAACTACGACACAGGCTGTTTGGGGTTTCGTTTTTCTATGTGTCTTAGATGCTATTTCACAATCAAGTGAACTACCACGAACACCACCGGTTGAATGAGTCAGCTCACCTGAACAAGCACAAACGTAAAGCACGTTCAGTTTTGCTCAAAAAAAAACAAGCATGCAATACAAAAGATAGCAAGGATATCAAAACTAAAGCACCGAGACAGTGCCGGCGCGTTGCATCAAAAAGGGAAAAGAACATGTCTAAACGTGCGTACCACAAACTATAATTGAAACACACCTGATCTGAACTTTAACGCTGTTGGAGCCCTTTGTCGCCCGTGAAGATGTGCGCTGTCTGAGGTCGCACTTCTTCAGTCTGCAGATACAATCTTCGGATTACACCAATGTCCTAGTTGGCTACCGGACGAACTTCTGCGTGCCTTTCGGTTGGTTATGATTACGGCGAGGAGATTCAATCGCCATTGGTTGGCACACAGAAAACTCACTCTCTTGGCCACAACATGGGACGTGCGAACAATGAACGTAAAACTGCAGCGAACACCATCTATCCACTGAACAAAACTCTCTACACTTTAACGCCAAGGAAAAGTTAAATGAGCCAGGTATAAAATTCCAACACACCATTTCATTTGTTGGACGTAAACGACTTTTGAGCACTCCACTCACTACTTCGTTTATCTTGTCGTAGAGACGAGGAAACCTTTGCATTTCTTGCTGAAAAAGTGTAACTTTCATGAAAAATTATTTTGAACTTCATAGTGAACTGCACTATGTAATATATGAGACGCAATCTAAAAGCCACGGAGGTAAAAAGAACGGATGATAAAAGGTTTCAAACGATAGCAAGCCTCAAAGAAAAAACGTATTGACCACAGGTACTATGTTGCGGGAGTTGTTTCCCAGATTCTAAATATTATACTTCACAAGAAACGCCCATGAGCTCTTGAGGATTTCAGATAGCCTAATTTTGATGAAACATAAGTGGAAATAACAAACAAATTGACAAGGTAAATATTTTCAAAGTTTCGCTAACAATCCGCTGAAGATGCAATATTGGCAAACTGACGACCGTGTGAAAGATGCTGTGCCACATTTTCACAAAGGAAGACCCCTCTTGACCAAACTGTTTCGAGTTTTTCTTGTGTGCGTTCCAAACGGGATCAACCCTAGCGTTGGTACTTTTGAAATTTCACCCTACCCCTCCCAGGGGGTCTCAGTACAACTCTGACCACCACCATCAGTCTTGGTCTCCCATGCAACCCACCCGACCACCACCCTCATCATGTTGGCTGTTTCTAGTGTTTGATTCTGTAATGAGATTTCAGTCGACACAGCCCAAATCCAACACCTTTCATCTCCAAGAATTTTCGTCAACACGTAAAAAAGACCCCGTCTCCCGCAGCAATGACTCTTCGACTTCCACAAACACGACTCCTTTCTGCTTTCGACCTCCACTGACCTCAAATATTACACTATTCCTAAAATCGCAAATCTCGACCCAACCCCATCAAAACTTGTACCCACGGAGGGTAGACCCTGGTTCCAAAGCAGTCTGTATAGATTATTAAGAGCGAAGGACAACGTATTACGATAATGAAATCAATCAGAACTGAGCGACTACTGATGAGAAAAAATTCAAAAAAAGTACCATAATATACACACAAAGATGCTCATTAATGCTTCAGAAACACATTAACTGTAATGTTTTTATGGAAAAGCACCATCATAAATCCAACCTGAGTGGTAAGCCCACAGTGTTTGACCATTCGCTGCATTTCTTCATGTACGAGTTCGACACATCTCAAGCTAGGTTCTTCCAAGCGCTGAATTTGACGTTTGACTAACAGCTCAAACGCCACCTCTGGTACGAAAAGAGCTGGACGAGGACCCTGTAAATAACCACTTCGATAGCGAACGAAAGTTAACTTTGGAACTAGACCGCTCCTTCGTTCAGTTAAACGAAACAATTACCGTAGCATTCCTGATTGCGGTCAATATGTCCATCTGAGTCAGATTTTCGAGTGGATTGACACTTTCTAAAGACTTCCCAAAGGTTTCGTGGAAGATGAAACAAATACGCGCGCCTCCACATCTAAAAATGATCACCATCGAGAAGGAAAAGAAAGCAAAGGCTTATAAAGTGGAGCGAAAACTGTCAAAGAAACGTACAGCTCCGTTGTTTCAATATTTCGTGAGACGTTTCCTTCAATTGTAGAAGTATATGCTGTAGCGAATCGTGTTATTATTTGAAGGAGAGTTCGGCTTTTGTCGTCCTACAATTCAACGAAAATCCTTCGATATAGGCGGAGGAATAAAACTACGCTAACTTACTACTGGCTCTCCAAATGCCAGAAGATCTGCTTGACATTGAGCGTGCATGATTGATACTCGCGCTTTTAATGCCGGTAAACAGTTTCGAATGTGATGCATAAGAAGCTAAATAAATAAAGATCAGTGCAAAAAGTACTTATCCCTCACTACTGGAGAGAAACAAGCCATTAATCGTTTCAAGATGTATCTGGAGAAACCTACAAGATTGAGCTTTTTTGCTAAATAAGGAGTTCCGTTCCTACTGGCAAGAGTCGGATACTTGCGATGAAGAAACGCGAGCTCGTCCTTTATGGCATCCCCGATTGGTTTATTGTCTATGATTGCTTGCTGAAAAAGTTCCATTTTGAACGTAACAACAGAGAAAGGTTAGGAGTCGTATAAAGGGACCATTTTCTCCACTAAAGACACCACCAAAAAATGATAAATGTATAAAAATGTATTACCAATTTACATCTGCTAGAAAAAAGCTTTCAAGACATATGGCAAAAAAAACCTACTAAACATTGCTCGATTATGTTGGGGAGTTTTGCTCCAACCATTATAACGTACATATTTTGGTCAATGTAAACATCACCCCTTTTTGTCTACGCTTAACTTTTTTTCTGATAAGAAGCGCAAGCTCTCGAATAATGCCAAAACCATTTACTTTTCGACTTCGAATTATTCTACGATCAAATGATTTTCTTCTGCTAATAAGTGGGAAATTTATATTCACTTGCGGTTTCCTCATTATAGATAAAAGTTCCTGAATTGAATTCGCAGGGAAAAAAATTACACCTACTATTTAGGCACTTGTTAAAAAATACTTGAAGAGTTTTGATATAGCGTGTAGTGAAGCATGGGGAGCTATCAAAATAATTATAGGAAATCCACTTAAATCAAAACATTACAAAGAATATGGACGAAAAAATACGGATGCCCATAGCAAAGCTACTGCAGCGGATTTTCACAATGACGTTTTCGCATGAGCTCCCTTATTCTAGCTGGTAGAACTACCTGTATGTTATTGCGCCGCCGCATTTGTGCCGACTATTTTTCCTAAGAGCTGTGTGGGCGAATTTGATCAGCTGTTTCTGCACTGCGCATGCAAAGCAAAACTTGAAGACTCCTATTTTCTCTCATTATATTACTTCAAAATCAGCAAATCCGCTGCCGCTCGGCATGTTTACAGCCTTCAAGGAGAACACAAGCTTCGAATTGTACAAAGTGGGAACGCTCGCAAATGCGGTTCTGCTAAGTACTATACGATTTTATGAAACTATAACTCGGTTGACATTTGTGGGTCTCTCGGTATGACAGGCAGCTTGTTGAATTGTTTATCTGTTCGCCAAATGCCACGTGGATGCAGTAAGCAATGTGATTGGAAAAATCGACCGCTCACAGAAACAAAAACTATTTGCAATGCAGTATCGATTTAATGACATGGTATTGTGACAATCCATTGAATGCTTCATGAGAATCCAGTTGACACGCTCTCGCCTTTTCCAAGAGTTGATGGAGGGGCGCGTGGAAATGAGGGGAGTGTTGGGAGGGCCAAACTAGCCGCCATGTCAGTGTTGAAATGTAACGTGGTGCTAATTTTGATCGTGATGATACCTTCACTTACTATTCAAGCCGCTCGCTTCAATCATATTCCGCCCCATAATTGTGAACTTGTAAATGAGAATGAGCATAGAAAGGTTAACAGCGCATAAAGAAAGAGAAAATCCTTCGGCTGCGAGGGGAGACTTGGTGTAACAAAATAGCATAAGTAATAAAAAAGGCAAAAGCGAAAAAAGAAATGACCTGCGAGCGATTCACAACGCCTATGATACCTAGCTTCACTGGCACAATTTTGCCCATCAAAACATCCATGGCGTCTGTTCCC